TCTTAAGTGGGCATTGTACAGAATGCTAAAGAAAAATAAGGGGGGTAATGTCTGACTCAAAAGAAAAATCTTTCAACCATTTACTGCATGATATTTTCCCATGGAGATAATTTTTAAAAGCTTTGGCTCACTTCGAAGAGAAATACTGAGCCCTTTTTGTTATTACTTTAACTTATCCGATCTCTAAACCACAGAAGATACCTAAGAGGTTCATTAGAAATTCCCCAACCCAGAAATAGGAAGGTCCCAATAAAAACAAACTAATCAGATCTGTTAGGAGTTGAATATTGGAGTTTTGACTTCCTGATGCTAAGGAAGGGTCATATTTTGGTTACAAAATAATAGTAAGTGTAGCATAGAAAACACCAGACTTAAAATAATGAATCCCTTCCATGTCTATCTGTAGATTTGGCATACACAAGTACTAAACATGATTCTAATACAAATTATGGAAATTCCATTTCTAACCCAGTCACTTTACAGAGAAGCCTTTTGAAAATAAAATAAAATTTAAAAATAAAATACTTTTTCTAATTGTTGATGGGCTTTCATTTTTATTTATTTATATGTGGTTCTGAGAATTGAACCCAGTACTTCACACATGCTAAACAAGCATGTACCACTAAGCCACAACCCCAGCCCATCAGAATCCCTTTTTGGGGGTGAATTTTTGCTTATCTATTGTAATTTATCTTTTCTGTTATTTCATTCGATATAGTCAATGGCCTAAGTTATATTAGCAAAGAGACCAAATCTTGTCCTTCTTTCCACAAATCAATAAGGAAACAATGTTTTGGAAAAAAATTGTTTTCACTGTTAAATTGGGTTCAATTACCAACAGTTAGGGCTTATATTTCTCTTTCTGTTCTACTTCTGAACTAGTCATCATCGCCTGTTACCAATTCAAGAGGTTGTCATTGCTTGTCATTGCATGTCATTGATAGATAGGGAGGAAGACACCCAGTGAACAATTCAACCCTTGTAGTAAGAAGCTATGTCTCCTTAGAAGACAAATTGAAAAGCACTCTGGTACCGGCTTTTAAAGGCAAATACTGCTAGATAATTTAGGGTGAAACTGTCCAGTCATCTGTCATGACAAAGGCATATTTTAAGGAACAATGAATTGCAAGAACCATTGCAAACCACAGTGACAAGGTCAGAATTTCTTTAGTATTCACTATGTTTGGAAGGTTTTAGTAGCACAGTGTAAACCCTAAAACAGCTGCCTGGAGAATGGTTAATTGTGTGATTCATGAGCCACCCCTTCCAGCTCTCACTGTTTTTCCTTGCATTTGGATTCTTTCAAGGAATACTTAATTTAAAATATCACTTTACCAACTATAACATCTCTTTCTTTTTTTATTTTACAAAGGACGAATTTGGTTGTATACAAAATAACAAAACCTCAAGATCAAATATTATCTCCATCTCAAATACCAATACAACAAAATGTATTTTACCCATTAAAACATTAGTTAAAGATTTTTTTTTAATTATTATCTTCATAATAATATCTTTTGATGAATTATTATCTTCTGTTTTAAATGTTTTATCAATTTCTTAATTTCTTTCCCCTTACACAACTGTCCATTTACTAACCTGCATAAATGTCTGGTCCAGTTCACGTGTCCTACCCTGTCATCAATTTCCTCTCAGTAGGAGAAACATTTTAGTCATCTATTATTTAGGATCTGGTAAAAGGACATAATTAAAACTCAATCATGGGCTACTGAGGACTCCGCAGTAATTGCTGTTTGAGCTTATGTATCAGCAAATTTGTAGCAGAAACCCATGTTTTCTCTTTTTTACTGTCTTCATCTACCTCCCAGTATTTCTTCAGTTTTAGAGAAGTTTTATATTTTTTTCATTCCATATAGCAATCTCCCTGTATTCTTTCAAATCACAAATTCAATAAACAAAACAAAACAAAATAAAAATAGAGAAGTAAGATTACAACAAATTACATTTATTTCGTACATTGCAGCACCATTTTTTTTCTATGGAAAAAAATTTTTAAAATCCTGTAAAAATTGAAAATTCATAATTTGAACAAATCTCCCTTTGGTACCTGAAAACTAACAGAAAGAAATTTAATCCATATGACTCTTTATTGCTTACAATATAAATTGTGTTACAGTGCCTGAAGTATGAAGAAATTATACTTCAAGAAGTGAATTAAAAGGGGTTCTAAGAAACTTTTTTAAAAATGTTAATACAACAGAATGTCCATGGAATGCATCTCTTTCCGTAGCGTGTTTACAAGAGAAGAGAAAACAATTTCTGTTAATTATTTATTAATATTAAAATATTGATGAGCTTTATCTAAGAGTAATGGGCTTCTAGCTGGTGCACTGGGTTGAACTGTGCTGAAATTTAGCCAGCATGAGGGGCGTGTATTAAAAGAGCAGAACAAATGACTTAACAGGGGCCTAAAAGCAGCAATCAGAAAAGGTTCATTTAACATAGAGATGGCACAAGCTTCGAGCAATTGCCTCTACTTAAGTAAGTGTGGAATTACAAAAGGTTATTTATTACAGTCCAACAGGGGCCTGCAGCTTGCTCAAAGGCCTTTGAAGAATTTCAACAGTTATAAAGTCTTGCTTAGTGCACAAGCAGTAAAACTTGGGCAGACCCCCAAAACAGCCTGCAAAGCTTTTATTAAAAGGTTAATACAACCCTTGTCACAATTCTTGTTTGAAAGGAATTATTTTCTCTCTCTCCCTTTTTTTAAAGGAGAGATACCATATCTGGTTATTTTCCCACAGGTCTGAAATGTATTTTAATGATTTTGAAAAATGAACCAGTTTCTTGATGTATGGAATTAAATGTAGGACTTTATGGGTTTAAAAGGAAAGTGTTCCAATGCTAAGCTGCTTTGAAATGCTCTGCAAGCATACATCAAAAAAGTTATGCTGCTAATGGATTTGCTTCAGCAGAAAAACTAGTGGAATTTTTCCATTGTTTGTAAAAGAGGCAAAATTTGGTTCCAAGGACATTGGTGACTTCGATTTTCTCATTAACAATTGGGTAATAAATTGATTTTTATAAGTATAGACTTAGAAAATACAGTGAAATAAAGTGAAAATAGTTTATCTTTTGTTTTAAAGCAACAACCCAGTGCACCAGCTAGAAGCCCATTACTCTTAGATAAAGCAACTTTAGAGTAAACCACAAGGATGGGGGATTGAGACCAATGTGGGAACTAAAACGGAAGAGTATTGAGTAGATGAAAAGTAGAGATGAAAGTTAAATAACTTTAGTTGACATTAAAAGGATGGTAATTGCAAAAATGAGAATAATAAATAAATTTAAAATGAGAATAAGAAAATAAATTTACTGGCTGAGCCTGGTGGCACACATCTATATTCCCAGTGGCTCAAGAGGCAGGATGATTGCCAGTTCAAAGACAGCCTCACAAAAGCAAGGCGCTAAACAACGCAGAGAGACTCTGTCTTTAAAAAAAAAAAAAAACAAAATAGGGCAGGAGGTATTGCTCAGTAGCCAAGTGCACCTGAGTTCAATCCCCAATACCCACTCCAAAAAAATAACAATAAATTTATTTTTCCACCCCAAAAACAAAACCTACATTTTTATTTTGCAAAAGATTAAGTCCTTTAATTAATTTCCAGACCATTAGGGTAACAACACTTTAATTAGGAAAGAGTGTCAGCATCTTAGAAATAATCCGAACAAGTGGATGGGAAATTTATTGATATAGATTCTAATTCAAGTGGTACAAGTCACAATTGAGGAATGAAAGCTTTACTTTAAAGTGATACATAAAGGTAAAAACATTTATACATAGGATCAGTTTGAAATGCAAATATCATCATGTGATAGTCATAGAAGATCAAGTCAATAAATATGAAACCTGTACTGTTAGTTCTTTGGAGATTGTAAATACATAATCTTCAAACATGCTTGATTTGCAAAAAATGTGTAACATAATTAGTTCTCAATCAATGAAAATAATTTGACAGTTAATGTATAAAAATTCATGAGCTTTTTTTTTGTGTTTAAAATTTGGTTTGCTATATTCCATTAGGACCAAGTGCTACCATACTCCAGTGAGGCATTTCACTTGATTGGTAAACAAAATTGAGGTTGAAAACTCAAAGTACATAGATAGTGTGCATTTTTCTTTTTGATGGAAGAATTTGAAATAGAAATCACTTAAAATATATTTAATCTTTAGTTTGAAATGAAGATGATCCTATTATATCTGACCTACACTGCTGCTTTCTATTTATATTTCATATTTTTGATAATAGGCAACAAACCATAGCAAATGTTGCCATTATCCAATCATGATATCTCAAAATATATTTATATATTCATAACACATAGCAATAATTTCATTGAATTTCTTATTAAATGTTTAAGCAATTAAAATTCAAAATATAAAATAGTTTTCTTAAATATGTTTTTATTCATGAAATATTTTTGTCAGAAGTCAAAATCTACTGTAATATACCCTAAGTCATATCTATTTCATAATACAACAAATATTATTATTACCTATGGATACCATGGGACTCCTTGTGCATAATGGATTCCAGTCCTCTTACAGAGTTGCATATGAAAATGTTATCAATGAGCTGAGGAATCTGGCATTAATAACTTCGCAACATTATAACAAATAGGTAGTCCTAATGTTTTGTTCTTTTTTTAATATATCAAATATATTTCATTGCTTACATTATAGTAGCAGATTGAAAACATCTGCTCACTTGCCACTAGTCAACCAGCAGAAGAAAATCTCAGCTCATTTTCCATAGGCTTGAATGCACTAGGGCTAAAATCCAGCTGCTGGGGCTGGATATAGGGTTAGATTAATACTCAAGGGTCTTGGAAATGGAAATAATGCTTTCTTGCCAAAGATTAGACCAATGATAGACTCCATTTGCTGGTTCACGTCTCTCTTTCTACTCTTATTCACCATGCTTCCCAGCCCATAATCTTGCTTTCTCCAACTTTTCCTCCCCTCCTCTCTTTTTCAGCTCCATCACCTGTCATGATAATCAAGAAAGATCGAACATCCAGAAACAGCATCTCTCTATCCTGGCAAGAACCTGAACATCCTAATGGGATCATATTGGACTATGAAGTCAAATACTATGAAAAGGTGGGGAAACAATGTTATGTGGTTGAGTTGTGTAGGGAATGAGCTTATTTTCTCATAATGAGCTGTGCTGTTGAAAAGAAAGCACTGACATTGGTAGTAGGAGCTATGTTTAGTATCCTTGTCATATGACCTCTTTAATTTATAGGAACAGAGGCATTTAGAAATCACTTTGTCAGATACCTGCTATTCTACAACAATAAACAACATCAAAGATATCACTACCAAACATAAGCCAGTTTATTTTGACAATAGACAGGACATTTATGTTCATTCACACTGAGAAGCCTATTCCACTAACAATTTTGTAATGATTCTTTAGTCTCATGATTAAATATTCCTTATTTAATTGACTCAAGCTTCATTTTATGACCTTCATAGTCACATGATTTTCATTTAATACAGAGAGTAGCATTGGAATGAGTTAAAAAAAAAAACACTGCATTATTTAACTGATCACGAAAACGTTTCCTGAGTCTGTAGAGGAAAATATAGAAAGTGAGGTGGATGAGTAAGTATGCTTCACATCATAAAATTGGTTCAATAATATAATTATAAAAATGAGCACAGGGTTATTTATACATAGAATTTAGATTGTGATATTTCATCACTTTAACACTTATTTCTCCCTAGTTTTAAATTATGGCAACGTTTGAAAGCAAGATATATTTCAACTTTATCATGAAAACTGGCTCACTTTATAGCTGCTAATGTGAACAGAACACATTTGTGTACTTGTTGCCTTTTATAAAGTATTTTAAAGTGAATTTTTTTTTAAAAAAAGCTGGGCGATTATGTAGCTATATATATGTAGATGCAACTTATGAATACAGGACATTTCTGCATGCATTATTTAAAATTCAGCAGTGTGATCATATTATAAAAGTTGGTAAATAGCAATTTTTATAAAATGAAAAATTGAGGGAGAGTGACATTAGATGAATTCCCCACAGCCCCTCTCAAAATTTATTAGGATTAGGTTATGTTTTGAACTCTGACAGTCATGATTCCTCATTTAGTATGTTTCTGTGATTGCTTCATCATGAGAATGGATAGTTAGAAGTATGAGGGTTATTAGAATGACAGTTGTCAAAGGGCATAATGCATAAACATACTTTTGTGTTAAGTAGTTATATCCTTTATTGAGTCAATGTAGTTCACAAATATAATGCTATTCTTTTCATACACCCCTCTATAAGAAAAAGGTATTCTCTTTTTATCAAAATAAGGTGAGATTTAAGAAACATTATTTTGCCATAATCACAGTGCAGTCATCCACTATGGTAAAGCCCATCACTCTTGTGACTGTGATCTCCTATTTTTAAAAGTGTAACAAGAAATAGTGAGCCAATTTAAGAATACATGTTTTATTGTTGATTCAAGAAAATTAATTTTGTGCCTTTATTCACACTAGATAACTAAACTAGTATGACACCTTTAAATCTAAGATGCTCAGTCCAAAATACAATTGACTTCTTTTTATATATTTTGCCAACATAAAAATTTAACTTCTTTCAAACTCTACCAACAGGGTAAAATATACATTATGCAATCAATGCAAGACAAAAATAATTGAATCTATTGATTATTTCCTACGTTTTTAAAAACATGATGCTTGCATACATGTGATATTACCTTAAATATGTGTATATAAATACTTGTTTGTAGCATAGAAACATGAATTTAAAAATTATTCCCAAATTCATATTTGGGGTTTGGAAATATTATGAATGTTTTACTGGAATTTTAGTTTCTTAAGATCCAGATTTCTTGAATGCTTAATTGCCTCAAAAATGATGGACACAGTCTGCTTCTGGGTATTTCCTCAATACTTTTTTTAAATGAATAAATTAATTATTTATGCCGAAGAAATACATTCAACTCTTCATTATTTAATATAATAATTCAAATGCTATTTAATACTTAACCAGCATCTCTAGCTAAAGAGTGTAATTAATTAATTATCATTTTCATGTATGGTAGAGAAAAAATAAATTCAGCGCAAATTCAATTTTTGTAAACAGGACTTGACACAAAAGAAACATTATTATTAATGTGGAATGGGAATCTCCTAGAAGAAATCCTTTTGGGGCACTATTTTGAGAATTCAATCAGAAGATATTTGTCTCTACTAAATGGCAATGATTTACACAAAATACAAAAGAAACTGAGGAAATTAGAACCACATATAAAATTTTGACTTTATGTTTAATATTTTTATATTAATAAAAATATTTTCTATTCGAGGTTCAGTATGATGTTCTTATTATGTGTAATTCATCAGGATATTTTCTTCTTTGTAAGTTTTTTCTTGGAATTAGTTTGAAATTGGAATTAGTTTCTCACAGCTTTGACTTTAAGGAGAATGTATTTTCACTCACATATTCAGGAACAAGTAAGAATGAAAGCTAACTTTTCCAGTTTTATGTGGAGACCACAAATCATAACCTCCAAATTAGGAAGTCTATAAATATTATTATTTTAAATATTTCCCTCCTTGCACCCAAAGAGTGAAATAATTGACATAACTTTTTCATGCATCATATGCTCTATTTAAAATATTAAAAAATCAACTTAGAGTGTTTCATTTTTTATCATGCAATAGCATTATAATGAAGGTTTCATATTAACATGATTTATTTTCTTACTTCAAAGCAGGAACAAGAGACAAGTTATACCATTTTGAGGGCAAGAGGCACAAATGTCACAATCAGTAGCCTCAAGCCTGATACTACATATGTATTCCAAATTCGAGCCCGAACAGCAGCTGGATATGGGACCAACAGCCGAAAGTTCGAGTTTGAAACAAGCCCAGACTGTATGTATTATTTCAATTTCATGTATGGGGGAGGATTATTACCCAAAGTGTTTGCTATTGTATTCTTACTTTCTAAATTTTCACCTAGTATGATAAATTGAAAGTATCTTGCTTGGGACTTTAGGAATTTGCAGAGATGTGTGTTGTATTTGTGTGGGTTTGCATCTGCATTCTTGTTCTCTTTCACAAATCAAACTTATTTTAATGTGTGGAATGATTCTGGTTTTCTGTTAGCCATAACTTCCTCTTGAGGAACTTTGTTTAATATAATAACATACTTCTAGCACCTATCAATCTAAATGTTCCAAGTTCATTTCATGATTCAGTCAACCACAGACAAGAAACTTGATGATCCATGAGGATCTTAATTTTGTTTTTATCCTTATCACATCCACTTATGTATAACTTAGGGAATAAGGAATTTTTAAAATGTGTTTTATCTCTTCATTCATATTCACAAGCAATCATGATATTCTGTCCAGTTGATCCCAACTTTGTCTAATGAATTTGGCTAAAACAAAGATTTCCTTCCTTTACATGAATTTACTCAATATTTTAAAAACACTCTGCTAAAATATAATTTCCAGAAAGTGATATCATAACTGTGCTGATAATTTGAAATAAATACAAGCTAGATATTTTATTTAGCTAGTTAATGAAGAGACTAAATATGAAATTAAGACTGATTTAAAGCAAAATTAGAACAGATGCATATACACATGTATGTACATATTTGTGCATGTGTGTATGTGTGTGTGTGTGTTTAGGAATAAACCAATTATCTCTAGTGAACAAGTGTTATTTTAATTGTAATATTGTAATAAGAAAAATCAGATACAGTACTAATAGTTTTCTTCCATTGTAATTCATAGTTATAAACTAGCCTAGAGAAAGATGGACACCCTTTAGAGCAGGTAATCCTGAAAGGGTCTAGGAATGCCCAAAACATTATTGAAGAAAAATTTAGTCATGTCTTTTGATCATCCTAACTTATGATTTTTATGGTACCTATATTTTCTATTTTCTAAATATTTTGTTCCTGACATAAAAATCACATTATTATTGATAATAATTTTATATGTAGTAGAATTGACCATAAATCATAAAAACTGTTTGTTAATAAAATATTTTATGATATTCCTTTTGTCAAATAAGAATGCTGCTTACAGCAAAGAGCTGTATTAACTTCTGCAAGGTTTTGAGATTCTAATGCTTTTGTACATCTTAAGTTCACAGCAAAATTGTAACAGTTCTACTTAGAGGAGAGCTGTTGCCCACAGACACACATTATCTATCCATAAAGACCTCTCCTAACTCCTAGGATGAAATAAGCAAAGAGAAACCACTCTGGAGACACTCGATACAAAATGCAATATGGTGCAGAAATCCATGAAAAGGTTCAAAATAAGTTAAAAATTTTAGATGACTGGATAATCAAATGTAATTGCAATGTGGCTTTAGTCATTCTAAGTTTTTTTTTTTTTTGTAAATTTAAGTGATGCAAAGAAATATCCTCCTTTGGAAATGACTATAAATTGACTTTCAAACTTATAAAAGAATATTTGGTTTAACAGTAACAACAAAATCTATATTTAATTTACTAAAAAAATTCCAAATCACAGTTGAAAAAGCAAATATTTACGATATCTTATTATATAAATGACACATATTGATGAGTAAGAGAATCAGATGACCATTTCATAAACATTTAGTATGTTCATGAATATTTTGGAACCCCCATCTAATTTTGTATGATATTAATTAGAACTCCATGCTATCTGATGATTTGCAAAATCAACAACAAATTCCAATCTATTCCATATTTGCCACAGACATTGCTGAGTAGCATTCATGCATAAAAGACTTCTCTTGAAGCTTAGTGTCTGAGGCTTAAGAAATTGACAATTTTTACAGGATTGCGATGTAGCTCAGTAGTTACATCACTTCCATAGGTAGTGATAAGTCCTGGGTTTAATCATCAGCACTGAAGGAAAAAAAAAGTAGCTGATTTAAATCCTGTAGGGTTGTAGATTTTCACCACTTTTTATTCTTGACAAACTTACATTGAGTAAGAGAGAGAGAAGGGAAAAGAGGATAGGAAAAAAAAAACTTGAACTTTTCCACTTCACCCTTTCTATTTATAAAAATAACTGTGAGTTGCACATTTGATTTGTTTTTATCCCCAAGGGCTGAGGATGGATCCCAAGGGCTTGCTCACACTGGGCACACACACTACCTCTGAGCTCCATCCTCAGCCCTATAGTTTGATTTTTGTAACAAATCGATTTACTTTTACTACTTCACCATAGAATTCTTCCAGACTTTAAGCAGAAATGAAAGAGCGGGGGGAGGGGTAGCATTTAGTCTTAGTGGAAGAAAAACAAAAATCAAGCTTCACTCTCTTATTTGAAAATCAAAGTGATGATATTCATAAAAATTCTAAAGCTTTGTTTTATGATAATAGTTTTAAAATGTAAAAGTCATTTGGATATCTTTATCAATTTTTTTTCTTTTTTCCCTCTGGTTTTTATTTTTAAAAATTAAGTGAAAAGTTCTCATATATAACACAAATATTTCTTAAGTAGACCATAATGGATCTTGAGCTAGCATTTAGATAACATTTTCTGATCTTGGTTTATTGGAAAGATGTGGAGGCCCATCGGAGTGCATATTTTAAGTGCTTTAAAATATCTTATTTGTTGAATGTCAGCACTTATCATCAATCATCTTTATACAGATGAGGAAACTGAGGTATAACTAGGTTAAATAAGCCTCCCACAGTCTCATGGTTGGTGGATAATTGATCTGTTTCTAGAGCCTGTGCATTTATATGGCAGGATATGAACCGTTTTCATAAACATTTCATTTGATCCTGTTCTGTAAACTATTCAGATACTTTCCTTTTATGCATGATGTAAGACAGAGTTGTGTGTTTTTCCAAGCTTGCATAGCTAGTAAATGAGGGCAATGAAACTAAAATCTCCAAGTTTGGAGTCCCGATGCAGTGCTACACCCTCACATGCTAAGAGGCAACACTAATACTCACAAAAAGCACAGAGTTCAGAAGTACAGAAGGATTTTCCTAGAATGAATACAGCTCCTACCAAAACAAGAAGAACAGTATGACATGTAGAAAGCAGACAGACCAATTATATAGAAACCCTTAGTGGGCAGAACCTGAATCCTAGATGTATGCTTTATACCAAAGAAAGCTGTGAAAGATTTAGAAGGTGCAAGTATTTTGGAAGTGATTTGCATTTAGGATGACCTTGGAAAATTACTTCCTTGCATCAGTTTCCCTACCTGGAAATTGGGGAAAATTATACATGTCACTCCATGAGGTTTAAATGTTGGTTAAATTAGTTATCATTTATAAAGTAGTTAAAATAGTACCTGATACAGTGATCACTCAGTGTGTATGTGGAGTGTGTGTCTGTGTGTGTGTAAAAGAGAGTTCATTTTTTGCGGCTATAACAGAATACCTATGGTTTGGTAATTTATACAAAAAATAGGAGTTTATTTATAACAGTTCTTGAAGCTAGAAGTACACAATGGAGGCACTGAATCTGGTGCCTGGTGAAGGCCTTTGTGTTTCTCATGGTGGAGGGTGGAAGGGCAAGAAAAAAGCATACTCTCAAAAGCCCTTATAGTAGGTACCTTAATCCAACAATGAAGGCAGAGCCTTTGTGATCTAAGCACCTTTTTTTATCAGGCCCAACTCCAAATGCTGCTGAAATAGAGAATAAGATCTAACATAAATGTTTGCAGGGGGCTCCACAGCAGTGTGTATGTCAATGTTTTGTGTTTTTGTAAGTATCTGTAATCTGAAAATTCAAAGAATTAAAGAACTCTGTGCAATAAAGTTGAGCTTTGGAATTAGAAGATTCTATTGGATGTTATTTTTCAATAAGATGAGCCCCAGGCACAATTAAATTAGGACTCCTAAATACCAAAAAACTTCTTTTTTATTGTTGGTAAAGAATGAATATGAGCTGGACACAGGTCTGTAATCTCAGAGGCTCAAGAGGCTGAGGCAGGAGGATCACGATTTCAAAGCCAGCCTCAGCAAAAGCAAAATGCTAAGTAACTCAGAAAGACCCTGTCTCTAAATAAAATACAAATTAGGGCTGAGGGTGTGGTTCAGTGGTTGAGTATCACTGAATTCAATCCCCAGTACCAAGAAAATTTTTTAAAGTAAAAGGAATGAATATGCATCAACTTTATCTCTTGGAAAATATTAACAGAGGACATTAAGGCAACCTGACAAAGAGACAATAGAATCTTTAAGTAGAGAGTTCTGTATATTAAAATATAGACTTTTATAAGAGATAGAGTACTGTTCTAAATTTTTCACCAGGGAAAATATATAATAACAATATGTAAGTTATAAAGTACTTCCTATGTATCTGGCATTGTTCTAAATGTTTTAGTTGTATTCATTCATTTAATCCTCAAATAATCAAATCATGTCTCATAGTAAACAACTACCAATCTAGGCAATCTGGCTCATAGTAACTACTCTTCTTGAGGGAGAGAAAGACAACAATATATGTAGCATAGATTAAAATGAGAAGAGAGCAGGGTGTGGTGGCACATGCCTGTAATCCCAGGAATCTGGGAGGCTGGAGGCAGGAGGATCATAGTTCAAAGCCACCTCAGCAATTTAGCAAGAGCCTGCCTCAAAATGAAAACAAAATTAAAGGGCTGGGCATATGGCTCAGCGTCCCTGAGTATCCAACTTGCTATCCTTCTGCCTCAGCCTCCCAAATTCCTGGGATTACAGGCGTTCACCATACCCTGCCAACACTTGCTAGTTTTTAGAAAGTGTTACAGTGTACAAAATTAAAAGTGTGAGTTAAAGTAGTCATTATATGTTATGGAGTCTCTTTGAAATACTGAGATGAGCTATTTTACAGACTATTCACACATCTATATCCAATAGAAGGGGAGACATAGTTCAGATCCTCTGAGAAACAGATTCTATAATGGAATTTCAAGAGCAAGGGTTCTAGGGAGAGATGCATGGGAAATTACAAGGGAGTGGTGGACAAAGAGTCTCAGACTATGGTGGATGTCTGTCACCTATGAAAAAAAAGAAGAAGAAGACCATAAGTTTTAGGTCATCCAAGACTACTTGCAAAATTTTGTCTCAAAACAAAATTTGAAAAGAGCTGGGGATGTAACTCAGTGGTAGAGCACTTGCCTAGCAGTCATAAGGTCCTGGGTTAAACCCCTCACACTGCAAATTTAAAAAGAAAGAGTGAGTACCAGTAAGGAAGAGCTTCAGACTGCAGAGCAGTTCTTAGAGTCTCAGTAAAACTAATGGGGAGCCCCAGAGTGTAGATCATCCATTTGAGGAGTTTTGCATTGGGCAAGAATGGCTGGACTCTGGTTCTTTGTCCTTGCCCTGTCCATCATGGTCAGTTTGTAAAGGGCACCCTGGATCCTGAAGTGCAGCAGCTGGAATCTGTCTGCTCACTGCACTTTTGGCAGCAGGGATATCTGAGCAGACACTCTCCTGACTGCCACATTGGTGTAAACAAGAGTTTGCTAGTAGGACAGAATAAAGTGTTTGCAACAGTTTATATTATGGTGTGCCATCCTCTCACACTTGGAGCTCTTTTCTCAGATGCTTAGGAAAGTTCTAACAGCCTATCCACCCCATTTATTTTCTTGCGTCATTTTATTACTTCTAAAACCACCTATTTGGAGAAAGTCTTCCAAATTTGGATGTGATCCAGTTAAAGATACAGGGTTGGATTCTTGTGATGTGATGACAGTATTCAAGTGACTGACTCCTTTGCTGTTCTTTTGAGCATAATTTGTTCACATGTTTAATCAGCTTTTACCACAAAGACAACACATGTGAATATGAACATATGAAAGAGGTAGTTCCAGGAACTGCTTATGTTTTAGAAAGTCTATTGAGATTAGAATGCTTACTGAGGTTGTAGCAGCTGAGGCTAGGAATTTAGACAGAGAATTGAAACTAAATGGCTTTATATGCCTTGCTATGAAATTTTATCTGAAATTGATGGAAAATCATGCAGAGATTTTATGCACAGGAGTGATGTGTTCAAATTCATGGTTGAGAAGCAGTAATCAGGTAGCAAAGTAAAAAGAGAAAAGACAGAAAAATAGAGACCAATTGGGAATTTTAAATAATCATCCAGGAGAGAAATGGAGGTAGAAACTGAATATTTAAGAAGATTTTGTGATTCACTTGATGTAGAAGGATGAGAATAGGGAGATAACAAGGTGACTTCATATTTAAGGTCTAGATTCTTTATACTTGAAATGTTGTGGTCTGGCACAAACAGAATCAGTATCACCTGAGACATCATAAGAAATGTACAGTCTCAGTCCCCATTCCAGACTGTCTGAATGAAAACTGGTTTTCTAAAAGATTTCTATATGGTTTGTACACATATGAAAGTTTGAGAAGCATTGTTCTGGATGAGGGGTCAGTAAATATTTTCTGTGATGAGCCAGGTAAATATTTTAGTCTTTGTGCACATAAGTCTCTGTTGTGCTGCTCACTGTAGCATAAAATCATTCATACACAAGAAATTATGTGGCTGTGTATCAGTAAAACTTTGAGACAATAAAATTAGAATTTCAAAGAATTTTCAGGTCACAAAAGTTTGTTCTTTGCACTTTTAATAATCGTTTAAAAATGTAGAGTAATTCTAAGTTTGCAGCTAAAGTGACAGCATGTCAGTTTTGGCTCCTGGGGCATTTTTGCTGAGTTCTTCTCTCAGTGAATGAATGAGTAATGGGGCCACTTCAAAAGCTAAGCATGTGGGGGAGCTTGTTGGTGATAGGTGTTGAGGTCCATGAGTCAGGTATTACATTGCTCTTTTTTTTCTTTTCAATTTAGCTTCAATTTATAACTGACAAATACTTTTTTTATAGTTATGGAGTACAATGTTATGTTTGGATAAGCGTACACACTGTGAAATGATTATATCAATCCACTTAGCATGCCTATCATTTCACATACTTGTCTCTTTTTTATAGTGAGAGCATTTAAAATCTTGAAATGTACAATATGTTTTTATTAACTGTAGTCACTTTGCTCTGCAATAGGTTTTTGAAAACATAAGACATATTCTTTCTATCTAACTGGAGCTTTGTATATTTTGGTCAATTGGTCTCTATCCCCACCCCACAACCCTTCCCTGCCTCAGGAAGCCATGAATCCTCTCTACAAGTCTGACTTTTTTTTTCTTTAATTCCTTACAAAAGTGAGATGTGAAGCATTTGTCTTCTGTGTCTAACTGATTTTAATTAGCACAGTGTTCTCTAGGCTCATCCATATTGCTGCCAATGAAACACCACTTTTTTTTTCTTTTTTTTTATTGTTGGTTGTTCAAAACATTACATCTTTCTTGATATATCATATTTCACAGTTTGATTCAAAAGGGTTATGAACTCCCATTTTTACCCCGTATACAGATTGCTGAATCACATCAGTTACATCAATTACATTTCCATTGATTTACATATTGCCATTCTAGTGTCTGATGAATTCTGCTCTCTACCCTATCCTCTACTGTGCCCCCTCCCCTCCCCTCCCCTCCCCTCTTCTCTCTCAACCCCTTTTTAAACATCACAATTTTATTGGGGGAAAAACAAGCTTAATTAGAAGGATTTTTATCATTTCCTACTGTCCCTACTGGGATATTTCACCTGTTCTTTATATTCTTCTGATACCTTTTGGCTTATCCAACAAGTTTCTTGTAATAAGGATAGAGAAAAGAAGTCCAGCACCTTCCACACAGAAGGTATTCAGGTGGTGTCAATTGATGATGAAAGAGAGTATTTAATTCCTTATTCAATGCCTGTTTCATTTATTAATGAGGTAGAATAAATTTCAATCCAAATTATGGGAAATTTATTTATTTTTTACACTAAAGGAAAAATTCTGAAGTATCGAATCAAACATTAAAGAACATTTTAGGTAAAAGCAGAATACAGGGCCACATTGACAAGCTCTGCTGCATATGTCAGACATGATGTGATGATACCTGTCCATTTCTTCTTTTATTCTCTTCACCTTACAGCTTTTTCCATCTCTGGTGAAAATAGCCAAGTGGTAATGATTGCCATTTCAGCAGCAGTGGCCATTATTCTCCTCACCGTCGTCATATATGTTTTGATTGGGAGGTGAGTTCTTGTCTCATTGTCTGGGTTCTTTGATCATGCTTTCCTTGCTGCCTTTGATTGCTATAAAATTTTGGTATGGTCAATAAAGTCTTTTATCAAATAACAATGTTAGCATTTGTGTTCTGGGTCTTTCCTTTTCTCTTCATTTTCTTTTTTCCTTTCCTCTTAGTTTTGATTTTCTTTTTTCCATTAATTCGTGTGCCTACTCTCCAAGCATACCACTTCTCTCTTTTGACCCCACTCCGAGTGTCTGCCTTCTTTTTCCAATTATCCCCTCCCACTTCAATAACCCTAGATTTCCTCGACACTTTCTCACCAAAAATACTGGCAGCACTACGTGGCACTAATCATTACCATTGGAGACTTCACCCTTCATTCATTCTAACAGTAGTTGTTAAAAAATACTATAAACACATTCTAAGGCCTTTATAAAAACTGAGCTGGAGGGGTCTGCACAGCAGGGAAGCCACTCTCCATATCTCCTCATTAGGCAGCTTTCTAGGGTCCCCAGGAAAAGAGGCTTTCTACCTAGGATTTGGAGAATGTGAAGTCAATAAACTTTCACTAAAGCATTTAATTGTTTGAGGAAAAAGCTTTACTTTTTTTGTGCTTTGCATATTCTGATCATAGATAATCGTTTTTTAAAGCATTTTTTTTTTCCTTATGTGTTCTGTTCCCTTGATTTACCTCTAGGTTCTGTGGCTATAACAAATCAAAACATGGTGCGGATGAAAAAAGACTTCACTTTGGGAATGGGCACTGTAAGTTTCTAAACTTGGTTTTGTTTTAGCATTTTAGTTTTAACAGTTGTTGATTTATAATTGGATAGCTTCCCCCTTGACAAAGAGAATTCAAAAGTAGTTTTATGGAAAAATAGAGTAAATTAAATTTATTTTAGAAGAAGGAAATTCATGGCTTTGCATTAAGCAATTTTTACATGGCTACATTTCAGCATACTTAAGTTAAAGTGAAGGGTAACCTGTGGTTTATATTCAAATAATGCACATGATGAGCAGTAAGAACTGTAGTCAGCTCTGCGTGGCTGAAATGCAAAGCATATCTTCAATTTCCTTATTACTAGTCCTTTGCTAAAATCTAAATGGAATATTTTTCTCTTCCTAACTGCCAAATAAATATAAACAACCTCTGTTTATGTGAAATGCTTTCCTTCATTTTATCAACCAACCAAGAAAGAGCTTGAGAATAAACTATTTATTTTGGAGTTATATGATATCCAACTGGTAGAAAAGCCAGCACTTTTCCACTTTTCCTCCTCATTTTAAACCAACCAATTTTGTGTATTTTAATATTCTCTAAAAGTAATACTCTTTTTAGGTAACTAAGTGTTTACATCAAAAAAAAAAAAAAAAAGACTCATTTTCTTTTCCTTCTGGTGAAACAAATCGTTCCAGGTGTTTTGTTTTCAGAACTATGGCTCCGCTCAGTGTGGCAATTACTAATCAGTGGCCTTAAAAGGAATAACATGTTCTTACAGCAGGAAATTAGTACAGACTACACTCATGCTCTGTGCACTAAAATATCTCAATGTAGCTAATGTTGTCTTATAAGCATTTGCTGGCATTCACTATTGCCTCCTAAAATTACTTTCAGATCAACATGGTACTTCCTGTAAGCCTTTGGATTTATATCTAAAAAATGATAACTTTGGTTATAAACTAAGTTAAATTTGATTATTTGTTGCTAATGTCTAGGATGCATGGGGTGGCTTAAAAAGGAAGTTAAAAAGAAAAAGAAGTATTTGCTAAAATGTAAAGTTGTGTGAGATGAAACAATGTAAGAGATCGCAGAATCATTGTTTTTTCTATCCATCTCTTGCAATTATTATGGGAAAATCCACAAAAAAGCCAAAGTGCTATTATCTTAATATCAATGACACATCAATCCAAATTAGTTACATTATCAGCACAGAAGTCTTAGAAGAGTGCATAAACAAATTATAGAATACTTGTTTTCCATTTTTGTGTCCCCACTGGTCCAAAGAATCTATCACAATCCCCATGCATAAATTAGAACAATTACATTCTTTGGAATTAAATCCCTCTTAGAGTTGGACAACTGATAAACATATTATCATTACAGTAAGACGATGCTGATTTACTTAATTTTATGAGAACTATAAGTCTTCTGAATATGGTGCTTTGATAAATTCCTGCAGAGCAATCGTGAACAGGTCCTTGTGTCTCCTGTTGGTTTTTATGGTGCAGTTAGTTGAAATTTTAATTTTTAATGGAGAATATCGTCATGATGGACTAACAACAACAAAAATGAAGACATTTTTTCCTGGCTTCAAAAAACATAAAGTAACTTATATGCATTCATAAACTTCGTGCCTCTCGATACTGCAGCTGGTTTATTTCAGACCATTTAGTTGGTATTACTTTAAAAAGCTCTAGCTATGAACTATTCCCTCCAGCCTTATTACAACTCCTATAATATTGCTTCAAAAGAAACAAAATGTGTTTCACCTTCTGAGATCCTGTCCCCCTGCCCTCTCTGGCTGGACCTTTTTACATTTTTGCTATCCTTGGGGCAATGCATGCTGGTAAAATGGAAATGTAAATTATTGTGTTTGCACAGAACGAGCTGTAAAGTAGTGCAGCTTAACACGTGTGCATGTGTTTATTATCTGGGTTTCATGACAGAGCCCAGCTACTCTGTATGCTGCCCTTAATTATTGGTGTGAAGGGATTATGTGCCTTGCAACCTCAGTCTCCTGAGTCCCGGAACCTCTGGGGCTAGCAGTTAAAAATCAGCAGCCAAGCTCCCATGGTGAACAGACCATTTTACTTGGGGTATGTGTGTTTGTATTTGTATCCCCCCCCACACACACACACAATGTCATCTGGAAGGAAAAGCAATTTGCCTTATTTTAATTACTAGAAGTGAATATGACTAACTTGGGGGGAGGTGAGTATACACTTCTCAAATTAGTAATAGAGACATTCTCTAAGGCTGATTGTTACTAAAGGATAACTCTAACAACACATTTGATGGCTTTGTAAAGTTAGTGCTTTAAAAAAATGTCTGAGATGGAGCAGTCAATCATTTCATATACTTTGTAAATTCTGATGCCCAAAAAATCTCCTTGAATTGATTTTCTTAAATTCTGCAAGGTAATTAATTATTTTAGTAATTATTTATCAAAAAAAATAATAATTTTACTTAATGTTTAAAGGATTACTTTTTTTTTTCCTGGAAGAGACTGCTAGAATTTTTTAACCTTACTTTTAAATCAGTAGAGGTATATCAAAATATAATATAGCCTCTTTAACCTCATGTGTCTATATTAACATGTAACCAAACAGACCAAACTAAAGGAATCTAACAAGACTTTGCCTGTTAACATATTTTAGTAATTCTGTGGTTAATTGTACATTTTTTTTCTTACCCCAAAGCAAGAAATGTATGATAGCTTTCCTTAATCTGTGCCTTGCTTCAAGAGTAAAATGTTTTATTACTGATAGTTATTTAGTGTAATAATAGCAATGTATAATAGACCTCTGTGTTGAAGGATGACTCTGCTGTTTTCATAAAAGAGTAAGTCAACTTTTTATTGCTAAGTACCTGAGAAAATCAATTTAGAGGATGAAGAATTTACGTTGGCTTAGTTTCAGAGGTTTCAATCCATGGTCAGCTAGCTCTGTTCCTTTTGGGCCTGAGGTGAGGCAAAACATTATGGCAGAAGGAGGACTGCAACACAGTTGCCTACTTCTTCATGGGGGTGAGGGGGAGATGGGCTGGGGATGAGATATGCCCCCACCCAGTAACCCACCTCTCCTAACTAGGCTCTACTTCCTAAAATTTCCATCATCTCCAATATCACTAGCAACTGGGGAACGGTCCTTCAGCACATGAGTCTTTGGGGGACTTTATGATTCAAATTATAACAACATGAAAGAAGTAGGCAAATAATCTGTCAGCTTAAAATAAATGATATTTGTGAGCCCAAACTCTAAAACTGAAAAACCTCAATAATATTAATAGTTGTAAATAGGACTAGGGATGTGACTTAGTGGTAGAGCATTTTCCTAGCATGTGCCAGGCCCTAGGTTCCATCATAAGCACCAAGGGGAAAACTGTAAATAAATATTAACAATGAAAATACTAAATACAAAAATAATCACCGTTATTCATTGATCACTAAGTACACTAAATGCTTGCATTTGTGTAGTAAATTTTCTCCTTGCCATATGAGCTTAGCTATCCAAGCCAGAAAAACCCCAAAGTGGAGTTCTCATTTTAAAAGCTCCATCATTAGTTCTTTGCTCAAAGCACAGCCAATACTTAAATTTCCCCATTCCCGTGGGATGTTGACTTACTAGATAGTGGTGTCTTTTCAAATTATCCACACCATGCCTCAGGCTGGAGGGTGCTGCTCTCCTATAGCAGCAGCCTGGACACCAAAGAAGCAGCAGTGTGCATTATCAGCCTTTGTTCTGCATCCCAGTTTGCTCCTCACCCTCGCATTCCAGTTCTGCTGCCTCAAAGTCACCTGAAGAAGGAGCTGAGGAAAACAGTTTTTACACCTGTCCCTGAGAGTCCCTAGTTCTTTTATTGTGCCAAAGGCTTTTTAGGACAACGGATGACGATGGCTTAGTACAAAAGACAAAATTGACTCAAAGGTATCATTGGCCAATAGAATGTTCAGTTGCCATTCGGTTCATGAAATCTTCCATTATAAAGCAATATTGAAAACTGTAATGTCTGATTTTATTTGTTGAGTTAAAATAAAAAAAAATCTTCAATAACTTATGTAATGAATGAAAAATATATAACTATTAAGCATCCATGTTTCCTGATAAAGCATTGTTATCAATGTTACCAAGATTAAAAGTATTAATTGGGTTGGGGTTGTGGCTCAGCAGTAAGTAGAGTGCTTGAATAGCATGTGTAAAGCCCTGGGTTCAATCCTTAGCACCACATAAAAATAAATAAATAGAATAAAGGTATGTGTCCAACTACAACTAAAAAATAAAGATTTTTTTTAAAAAGTACAATCAAAATTATTAGTAGATATACAGTGAGCCTTAAACTGCAGTTTTCATTAATGACAATCTTTTTATGAAATTTAACTGATCTCATCAAACTGAGATTTCTTTCAGAAATAATTCCAAATTATCTGAGTTATTTTTCTAAATGATAGCAAGTTCACTGGTATCATTTGTCTTTAATATTTTAATTACAGAACATCAAGAAAAATTTCACCTTCAGAAAAATTTAATAAATAAATCTATAACAAGGGAGATTAGTATCTAATAAATAATTAGTATCTAATAAATATATACATAATTTATGTTTGGAACATAGTTTCTTATCACAGTTATTAAGCTTATAAAAAAATGCTTATATTGCCTTTATATAAAAAAGCTACATAAGATTTTAGCTGATGGATAGTATATTGGTGTGTCTATACCCATACCCACAGATGAAAGTTGATCAATAATTTCAGTAAGTGATTTTGATTGTGAATGTCGATAAAAGCTATATAGTATCAAACAGTTGATTTACCCTTTTAAGATGTATTTGCAGAGAAAACTCCTCATGTGGCTCTTTATCTTTCATTGTGAATAAGTTTTCTTAAATTTTAAACATGTGGGTCAAAAATCTCAGTTTCTATTATTTTTTATTATTATTTCTATTATTTTAGTTTATTCACAGAAAAAAAAATAAGATTTGTTGTACCATATTGGGTTGGAGAATTTCTTAGCCAATATTTTATCATAAAATTTGCTCAGTTTATAAATCTCACTAAAATAATGCCTTTTCCCTTAAACAGTAAAACTTCCAGGTCTCAGAACTTATGTTGACCCACATACTTATGAGGACCCGACACAAGCAGTTCATGAGTTTGCTAAGGAATTGGATGCCACCAACATATCCATTGACAAAGTTGTTGGAGCAGGTAAGTACCTCAATAATCCCACTACTGACCTAGGATGGTAATCACAAGTTTTCAATAAGAATGCTACCTTAGATTGATCAGTTTTTGTTGCCTGAGTATATTGCAAGGGAAAGTGGCATTTCAGATTTCATGATCAAAGACAGGCAACAAATAAAAGGGGTATTTAATGGTAAGTAATGATTTCAAAGGTGCCAGACTTACAGACTCTTAGACCTGGCTGCCTTTTATTTATTGAATTTCAGAGGCGGCAGCAGCCATGACTCAGTCTTCTCATGGCCACGCTGATCATGTGTCATAAAGCTATTTGACTAAGTAGGGGTAACAGGATAAAAGTGTGTCTCACTTTAAACATGTGTAGGAATTGAAATTTATTTTTGAATTTCAATACCTACTTTGGAATTAAAAGAGCAAACAACAAAAAATAAAACCTTGACACACTTTGCATAAATTTTATCACAGCTATTTTGAAATGATATTTTAAGTAACATGAACTACTTCATTTTAATACTTTCTTGACTTTATATAATAAATTTATTTGGATTAAAGTTGTCTTTATGCACATTTTTTGTTATAATCATTAAATTCAGTTAACTCAATTATACATTTATTATCAAAAATCCATGGGGTGATTAATAATAGAAGTTGCATTTTTCTAATACAAATTTCAGCTATGTATTGAATAATGATATTTTATATATTTGCACACAACACATGGATAACCATAATATACGGCAACATGCATAAAAATAAAACCACTAAATTCAAAAGCAAAAATGAACTATGCTCAATAACAAAGAGATTTGCACCATCATCTCACCCTTTAATATTTCTATCAGAACAAAACTAGTTATGTTGATGAAGTGAGAGTCTGAGGAATTAACTCATTAAATTATGCATAACCTATTAGATCACATTTTCTGCAAGTACTATATTTATATATTTATGACTGATGCTTCTTTGCACAAATGTGCATGTAATTGCCTCTATGGTTTCTGTATGCCACAACAATATTTAAAATTCAAGCAATAGTTTGTATGCAAAAGGGAAAATTTGAGTAATTTATATTATCTAAATAATGTGATAATTTTCTAAAGCTTCTTTTCTGATTTTCTTCATGTCTTATTCTCTTAAAAAGTCACATGTACAGGCAATATTAAAATATGAAACCAGTGCTCAAGGAAAGGAAACTGAAGTAGGCGCTTCTTTCTTTACCCTCTAAGATCAGATCGCATACACTTTCACTATGCTTCTAACCCAGTGCCAAAGCAGACATATGTCAATTACTCTGTTTCATGGGTGCAGTCCTGCTTTGTGCTCTGGGATGCAGAAGGTTTTGTCTGGCTGGTTTTAATGCTGCCCCACAAGAGTGCACTGTTCTCCAGCATGGGAACTGCAGTGTCACAAATTGCATGAGGTCTTTGCACCCTTAACTGGAGGCTAATAGAAGATAAAAAACTCACTTATATTCAACCAGTGTCCAGAAGGCCAGACAGACATCACTGCAACCTTGGAATCTGAAGCCCTCTGCACTGGTAAAAGATTTATGCAAAGTCGTATTGACAGAGCCAGATAGCCATAAGTGTGACAAAGCACACTTATGAAAAATTGTATCTGATAAATGATAAATGTGATAAGCAGAGGTCAACTTACACTGAAGCACTTAATAATCCCCAGTGCTCATTAAGGATCAGAAAAATATCTTCTTTGTTCTTTCTCTCTTCAGATATATTTGTGAATAATCAGACACATGACCCATATTCAGGCTTTGGCAGAAAATATTTGTATTTACTATACTCAGAGCAATAAAGCTAAGCCTATACGATTCACAAATTGGTAGATCTTTAAGGTTGGTTAAATATAATGCAATATGTAACACACATACAACTCTAGACTGCTTGGACTAGCTTTGGAAGAGATGGTCATCACAAGATAGAATATGGAATTGCAACTTTAAAAGTTACCAATATCTTGTTTTGGAAACATTTCAAATATATACTAAAATAGGACAAATTGTATAATAATATAATTAATAAGGATGTGCCAATTTCTATAACAATACTTTCAAGAAAAAATAACTCATAATAATCTTTCTAATTTATTTTTGTTTACTTTTGTGGTAACAGGAATGAAACCTAGGGTTTCCCACATGGTAGGTAAGGGATCTATCTCTGAGTTACACTATAGCCCTTCATGCCAAACTTGTTTTATGAATATTTACCTACATTTTAACCCTTTTAGTTTTAAAAAAATAAATTTATGTATGTTATTTATAAAAATGTTTAACAATTATATTAAATTAAATAGCAAACATCTTTTATTCTTAGAATAAACATTTTAGGTGAGGACAGTAATTTCATAGTTAATTAAATTTATAGAAAGAATATATGTATACATATGGTGTGTGTGTGTCTGTCTGTGTGGGTGTTGTGTGTGTATTATGTATGGGGGTTGGTTCTCTAATTTTCTGTGAGAGATTTTATATGGATTAATAAGTGATATAGAAATTCTTACTTAAGTGTTTGATCTTGAGAAAAATCATACCCATAGTGCATATGACAAAATAAAATTGAGCCATGAATTAACTATCTTAAAGTAGCAATTTTGTTTTAGTGAGGAATTAATAATGATTAAAATTCCTAGTTTTATTCCTTAATCCAATCACTTTTCAAGTTTAAAGCCTGAAAATTTCTGAAGAAAATGTTTATTATGCCTTTAATTTACATGATACTTAACTTTATTAGCCCTTTCAGCTAAGTATTACTGTCTCCATTTCAACAGATGAGAAAAAAAAAATAACTGAGCATTGGAATGACTAAGGTCACACAAAAATGAGAAACCATAATGTGGTTTATTCAAAGCCCAGTCTGGACACTAAAGCACAGCAGTGCCTTTTTAGGATTGTTGTGAGGATTAAATGAGCTAGTTCATGTACAACACTCCCCTGAAACACAAGCTGTGTTCAGTACATATTTTTATTATGCTTCTCTCAGTAAAGTAGTCAAGAGTGGGCTCTTATGCTACTGTCAGAGAGGGTCATTCTACTTAAACAATAGTAGGATATTTTTTTCCATTTTAAATATAATAAGGGTAATTTTTATATTGTATATCTTAAATCAAAATACCCATTTCCACAAGCATACCTATTTTTAAGGGAAAATAAAAAGTTCTACATGTACTAGAGTACCAAAAACAAAAACAAACAAATGACAAAACACAATATGTGGTAGCTGTGATTTTAGTTAGAAATGTTAGAATATAAATTTTCATTCTTTTAAAAAGTTTCCTTCTTGCAGAGTAATTGAAAACATATAAAACTTTGTTAGATGGAAATATTGGGAATTATGTTTGCCCACTCTTTCTAAACTTTCTCACCACAGTACTTTTAAATTAATGTAAAGATAATGAAATTAATACTTAATATATCTATCTTATATATTGGTGATGTTTTCTGGTATATATCTGATCAAAAAAATCACTTACTAATTTTTAAAATTTAGCATTACTGAAACACCATTTTGTGAGTTTTGAAGCAGGTATATATATGTCATTTCTAGGTTTTTCACTTAGAGATTGTAATTGACTCACTTGAATTTTAAGTTCCTGCCATTTATTTCTCTAGTGAGGCAAAATGTTTCTTACAAAATGCTTACCTTACAGATATTTGTGCACTGTGACACTGTTATGGTTTGGATTTGATGTGTCCCTCAAAATCTCACATGTGAGACAATTCAAGAAAGTTCAGAGGAGAAATTATTGGATTGTGAGAATCTTAACCCAATCTTAACCCTGAGAGGGATTAACTTTATGATAACTGAAGGCAGGTAGGGTGTGGCTGGAGGAGGTGGGTCCCTGTGGCTGTGAATTTGGAGTATATATTTTATATTTGGAGAGTGAAGTCTCTCTCTGCTTCCTGATCACCACATGAATTGCTTTCCTCTACCACCCAATCATACCATGATATTCTGCCTCACCTTGGGCCCTAAAGGAATGGAGCCTAGCCTTCTATGGACTAAGACCTCTGAAATCCTGAGCCCTCAAATAAACTTTTCCTCCTCTACAGTTGTTCTGTTCAGGCCCTTCAGTCATAGCAGCAAAAAAAGCTGACTGAAACAGACATAAACCTTATCATCACCACCATCACCGTAACTCTCTTCTATTAATATAGAATTTGACATTTTATAAAGCACCTTTGTATTCATTTGTACATTCTATCTAAACAGAAACTCTTAAGAGGTAGAATAGATGATTTAATCTTCTTAAGGTGCATCTTAACTCCAAGAAGTAAATAGACCAGCACTTAGATGTCACTTATTGCATGCTTGGCACTATTCCAAGGGATCTACATACATTGCTTCCTTTAATGTATAACCATCATATGAAGTAGATAACAACTGGTGTACTTATGTTATAAATAAGAAAATGGAAACACAGAGAGGTTAAGATATCCACTTAAAATCACAAAGCTAATAGGGAACTGAGAATATTTAGATCCTAGGTAATTGGACTCCAAGATTCATGCTCTTAACCATGCTTTTGTACTATCTCTTCTGTTAACTGACAAGTGATATGTCAGTAAATAATGATGACATGCAAATTCCAAAACATAATCCTTTTTACCAGGTAATAATGACAGAACTTTAGTTAAAAAATTAAAGTTTATTATGAATACCTTTTATGGTTTTCTCAAACTTAGTGTTTGTACAAAGTGAAGTGGAGCTCTCTGATAACATTCAGATAACCCTATGTAAGAAAAGGACTAATACTCTTGTTTATTGATTCTGAAAATGATTTCCTGGTAACTCACCATAGTAACTCTCCTTCTTATAGTACTTCCACAACTTCATATGTATTCTCTCTTGGAATTACAAAGTCAGTAAACTTTTGCAAGTTCTGCTCCCTACTTCTCTTCATAATCCTACAGAACAGGATAGCTGGCAAATGGTTATCTTCTCCCTACTTCTTCAAAGAGAGGAATCTAGTGCTGTCTTGTATACCATCACCTCTCTGTGTTTTTCATAGTGATTGCTACATTGTTGCCAGCTGATAGGTGTTTGTCACATGAGTGCTTCAGTGAGTGCTTTTGGACTTTAACTTACTTTGCCAAGTTGCAGCATGAGTCATAGAGTTGGAAAATAAGAAAGGGCTAAGATAGGGCAAGTTGGGCTGGGGATGTGGCTCTCCGCTCGCCTGGCATGCGTGAGGCCCGGATTGGATCCTCAGCACCACATACAAAGAAAGATGTTGTGTCTGCCGAGAACTAAAAAAAAATAAATAAATTTTAATATTTTCTCTCTCTCTCCCTCTCTCTCTCTTACTCTCTCTTTAAAAAAATGGGGGGAGGGCAAGTTTCCTGAAGAGAGGAAAGTCATTTGTAGTCATGCAGTTGGTAAAGCCACAGGACCTCTACTTTTGTGAGGCAAACCACTTAGTAAGATTGAAAAAAAAATGGGGGGAGAGTCATTTCACTTCTCTCCGAGATATAGGGTATGAAGGTCATAGAAATCTCAAAGTGAGAAGATGAGACCAAGAAAATTATGTTAAGTCTATAGACATCCAAAAATGTCTATAATATTGATTATGTCCTTAACCTATTTCAGAAAGAAAAAAAAATTCTTGATACTGGAAGTCATTTTTAATGCGGTGCACAAGAGATCTAACAATCCACATACTATTAAGAGCTGTGAACAAGGAGTATTCTATGGGTAGCGCTACACTACCTGTGACTGTCATTAAGGCAGCTGTGGGGACCGAAAAATGAATGTGACAGATCTCTGTGGAAGCTCAGAATCTAGTGACAGAGTGACTGGCAAATCTCAATAGCAATGTATATTTATGGAGGGAAGGCAAAGCCCATCCTGTTCTGGCAATTTATATCAAAGAGATTAGCAACACCACACATTCAACCCAGTGTGGATTAATTGTACATTTAGGACATCTTCTTCATGGAGGACACAGAATCTAAAAAACATTTTTATAGTGATTCTTTCTATTAAGACATACTATGTTTTATTTGATACTGTTATATTATTGTTCTCCCAGAAGCCCAGATAACTTTATAGCTGGTATGGCCATCATGCAACACACCAATAGTCCAATAAAATGAATTGATAGCAGATGCTTTCATTCTCATTTTCACAGAGCCTCAGTATATACACAAATTGGATATCTTGGTAAAAAAAAGAATAGTCAGAAACATATGAAGTTCAATCCAATGTTTAACCCATAATATCTGTTCTTGCCTGTTGATTATTCTGGAACATTGTTAGCTCTTACCACAAAGGGTAAAGCGTTTGATAGATAACAGCTTTCAACTTTCCTCTTGTTTTTTTTTTTTTTTGGTATCACATTTTTCATAGTATGACACTTAAAAATATATGGAGCTTCTGACAAGGTCCATTTTCCCAGTGGGATGTGGATGTCCTGGAATTTCCTAGGCAGTCTCTCTTTACCATCTTCCAGAATAATTTGGAGGTCTACTGTACATCTTTTGGGTCAAAGCATAAGTATTGCAGTAAAATTATTTAAAGCACACAATTATTAAATAGTGATCATTTTTTATTATATAATTCCTTACATTTTGCTTTTCTTCTGCATTTTAACAGGTGAATTTGGTGAGGTATGCAGTGGTCGCTTAAAACTTCCTTCAAAAAAAGAGATTTCAGTGGCCATCAAGACCCTGAAAGTGGGCTACACAGAGAAACAGAGGAGAGACTTCCTGGGAGAAGCAAGCATCATGGGACAGTTTGACCATCCCAATATCATTCGATTGGAAGGAGTTGTTACTAAAAGTAAGTAAAGTCACAAGACCTGCTTTTGTGTGTGCTGAGCAGAGGTGGCTTAAGCCCCAATTCAATCATTTAAATTTTTTTGATTTTTTTTTTTCATAACTATCTTTAGTTCTGGAATTGGTGTGTATCTCAGTGTTAGAACACATGCTCAGCACATGAAATCCTTGGTTCCGTCTCTAGTGCCACCAAAACCAAATTGAAAGAGAAAGTATCTTTAGTATCTTTAAACTGATCATAAAAAAGATCAGTTTAGGATTAAAATGCCTTTCTTTGACAATAGAGCTAAAGTATTTAACTAGTAGTATATTGTCCATGTTAGTCTACATTTTAAAAATCTTGGGAAAAAATCCATTGAAATGAGAGGTTGAGCTATTTAAATATGCTGATTCAAAGAGAGTCAAAGAGAGAATTGTGAGAATGTCCTAGAATGTAGAGTTGTGAGGTAAAACAATGACTCGGTTTCCACAGGACTTCTAGCTAGCTCAGCTGTGTCTTTTACTGTTCACCAGCTTCATTTCAGCTTCCAGATCTTTACCCTCTTAACCCTCTGCATTTAGGAAAATTATAGGCGTCTTGGGAATGCTTCTGAGCTGTAAAGATTGAAATCACTGTAGACCCAAGGTCTCTTTTGGTTCTCTGTAGATTTCAAATTGTTCTAATCTAGAGTCCCAGGTGGATTCTTGACTGCTCTGGGGAAGCTCTGGCTCACAGCCTGTGATAGAGATCTGAATTTATTTCCATGATGGTTTCTCCAGCCAAGCTCAAAAGGGATCCCGTGAGGCATATCTGTGATTTTTGGATCCAATCCCAATGGAAACCTCTTGAGAATGCTCTGGGACTTTTTTTCCTCATGATTGTAGAGTCTAGGATGAAGAATAGTGAAATTGGCAGCAGACTCCTTACAGTGAAAGACAACATATGGCAGGGAATTTGGCATCCTTTAGGGGATATTTCATTGGCACCATATTTACATACTCTATGGTTACCAACAGACATTATTCATTATATTTTTTCACAATGTTATTTTTCTTTAATATTACATACAGCACTTTCCAAATGGCACTAATACCTATTCTCACATTAGTGTGACTAAAAAGGCATTTCCTTCTTCATGGGGGCATGGTATAATTGAAATATACTTTGATTTCCTTTTGAGTTCTCATATAAAATAAACAGAATAAAGAACTTAACAATGTGGAATGATTTAACCATAGACTATGCCCATGTTAACTCTTATAAGAAGTATGTCTTTCTTGCCTCTGGACTTCTAAAAATCAGACAATTTTAGTAGTAATGCTGAAATAATTTCTGATGATTTTTTTCTTTTTAAAATTAATAATTAATTAAAAATACTGATAGGAGTGGTAAGGATTGAGAAAATTGTTCTTTTTGAGGAAAGACCATACTTGCATGTCTTGAATTATAGTATCAGATATCACTAGGATTTTATGACATTTAGCCATTTAATGTTCTCCATGACATCTTTACTATGTAATTATCCTTCAGATCCAAAGTCCCACAAAAAAGAGAAAATTCATATGTATTAATATGGCCATTCTTCTTTCAATATTTACAAGCTTTCTTTTATGAAGTGCCTGTTATGGGACTAACTTTGTACCATGGTCTTATTCCATTGTCACTTCTTCCTCTGAATTAGATATGACCTTTTCCTTTTTACATTTGAGCAAACAACTGTAATGCACGGGTAGCTTGTCTAGAAGTTGTTAGAGATACGTTAGGAACTTACTCTACTCATTTTACCTCTATTCCCAACTCTGTAAACAAAAGCAGATTTCTGTGCTTTATTCTTGCATGTCACTATTTTTTTTTTAATTTCCTGGTTTTTAAAAGCTTTCCTAACAAGTGGGTCATAGCAAGGCATCCTTCAAACTTTAAATATTTTAAAGATTTCTGGTGATAATTAATTATAGTTTATACCTAAAGCAAAATGTAAACTCTAAAGAGGGCAAAGTAGGGATTAAAGTAAAATCTGGATCATGGTAGTTAACTTAGTTTGTCAATGTTGAGGAACAAACAATTGATTAATGAGGGAAGGAAGGAGGGATAGGAAGAAGGAAAAAGAAAAGGAAGGAAGGAGGGACAGAGAGAGAAAAGAGTGAGTAGTATCTTTATAAATAGGTTTTTCTTTAGTGTTTTAGTAATTAAAGTTATTGCATTTTTTCAAAGTCGTGCAGTTATGTGATGGAGGTCTTCCCTTTTAGCTTTGACAGAATCATTACCTAACTTCTCCAAAGCCTACAACTAAGTAAAGAATATGGTAAAAGTCACTATCAAACTAAATATCAGCTTTAAATTTAAGCTTACTCATAGCTCTATTATTTTAACAAATGTAAATTGGTATTTTTGTCGCCAATGTTCTGAATTGTTTAAAATAACCCTTCATATTTTTCTGTTCCCTCAAAATATGTTTACTGAAAATAAGGAAATTCTCATAATAACATTATCATAATTACTGTAGCAAATTTTCTTCCGATAAAAACATAAGATAATTAAGTATGAAAATGGTATTCAGAAAAAAATTCAATGAAACAATCCCAAGAAAAAATGCAGAAAAATATGCATTAAGAAAAAGAATGACTTTTAAAAATTGCAAGTATTATGCATTAGACATCTTATTTATGTCTGATTCTGGAACTTTCTAATATGGATCACAAGTGCCTTATACTTAAAGTAAAAGTTCTAAACTTGATATATCTCTCTGGTCAAGTAAGTATGTAAGAAGCTGCCAAATCTGACTATATAAATCCCAGTCATCTCATATATTGTAAACATAATAGAGTATTAGACTCAGAATTAGATTTTGAACTCCTTAGTGGCGTATTTAAAAGCTCTAAGTCTGGCACCCTATAATAACAGAGAGGAAATAGAATTCTTTACAATAAACTTAATATGTTGCATTTAATATATAAACATGACAATTTGTCTCCAAAAGGAGTTATTTATTCTATTCCTGTTATTATAGTTTTTGAAAGTATACCACTTCTAAAAAAAATAAACTTGCATAGTTCAGATACACATGAACACAAAAATACACAAACAAATATACACACGAGTGATACAGAACTTACAATTTAGTGGAAAAATTGCATTTAATAAAGAAAAACAAGCATATCTGTTCCTAGATTGAATGGATCTGATTTCAAATTCTGATTTAGCCTAACTGCTTAAAAGAACTCATATAAGTCAAACCACACATAGATACTCACTTCTTCTTCACATGTAACACAGGAATAAAAGTTCAGATACATTAAAGATTAGATGAAATTGTGTAATAATATATTAAGTGACAGAGAATTGAGAAAATCTCTGTTGCCACTTCTGTTTGAGTTAGACATATTAGCAGTTATTCTAGTTGTGTAAATAAAATTCGTAAAAGTACTTCCTTATTTATTTATTTATTTATTTTTATTTGAGGTAATTCTCTCTATTATTGCTGTCACTTATTACAATGTCTCATTTTCAAATCATTCAGAGAAGTGTGTTATTCAGTCATTATATTTTTTATTTGAATTTAGCCATAAACAATTTTAATGGTACATTTTGAACTTGATGGTCTTAAACAAGAGAAGGTGATAGAGTCTCTGATCTTCAAAGTAGCAGAAAGCTTGGGGCACATTCTCTGCTTAGAACTAGATACTAACATGTGTTATCAATTTTAGTTTAAGTTCAAAAGGATGGAACTTGGTTTTCAGTGAATGTTTGATATTTCTGCCATCACACCATTAGTTATATGATGTTCAGACACTAACAGTAATTTCCATTGGCAACATTTTGCTCAGAGAAGTAGAAAAAGTTATACTGTATGGATAAGTGATCTTTATACTGTATGAAATATATTTTATTTCCCTGGATTATTTTCTGAAAAAAAATATATATATCATGCAACTCAACTGTACCCTTCCATAAATGTCATGGACAGAACATTATTAGAATCTCTCACAATTAAAATATAACTGTCTTCGAGTAAGTTTCGGTATTGTATCAAAGGCTTATATATGTGATGTTTACATTCTTATTTCCTGCACATAGAATGAGGGAACATTGCTAAAATAGGATATTATATTTTAATAACAATGCTAAATCTTAATTTACCACTTGTGTCTCTGTTAAAGTCTTATTTTGCTCTAGTCTCATGATTGCACTCATATGATATTGTTAATAGACAACACATATGTTGTGTTTATTTTATAAATAATTTACAGAAGTAGTTTGTTAGAATAACAAAATTTGGAAAGTGTGGTAATGCTATCATATATTCATGATTGCAATTTAATAAATGAGATCAGAATATGTTTATTTGTATACCCACATCAATTACATTAGGAAAATCTCTATTTAGTATATTAAAGAAAAATAAAGAAGAAAATGCTATTTTTTACATGTTGAAAGAACATTTTCTATTTATTTTTTCCCATCCACTATGTCTTTTAGATGAATTGGTCAGGTTTGAATTAAAAGAGGATTTGGTATTGTGTATTTTATTCATTTAAATTAATAGGGCTATTTTGGAAGATTAAATTCAACTTACAAATTTTGTTAGAGTATGATTAATCCAAAAACTGACCACCTTTTTTAAAAAATATATTTTTTACTTGTACTTGGGCACAATATCTATATTGTATTTTTATGTGGTTCTGAGGATGGAACCCAAGGCCTTGCACGTGATAATTGAGCACTCTACTGCTGAGCCACAATCTCAGCCCAACTAATGACCTTTTATAGAACACTAATTTGCACAAATAGTAACTGTCCTAAAAGGAGAAGAAATAAAATAAGATTCGTATGTTTAATAGCTGAGTAATTTGGTCTTACACAAATATGTTCAGGAAGAAAGAGAAAGAAACACCACTAAGTCATGAGGATAGTTATATCTTGATACCAAACAGTACAACTGCTCTCAGAAAGTAAAGCAGATTTTTGTGAAATCTGAACAAAAATTCAATAATTCTAATGTTGTAAATTCATACATAATAATATATGAACAAGTTAGTAACCATGTCCAAGTTTAGTTTATTCCAAGAATGCAAAATTTGTTTAATGTTTAATGATTTCAAACATTCACAACTTTAATAAATAGAAGAAAAAGCATCTCATACCTTAATTTATTACAACATTTCTATCATAATTAGATATAACACATGAAAATATATAACTTACACATTTTTTTCTCATCAAAGCTGATCCAAGATGTCTGTCTTAGGAACAGTGAAATGGGCACAGAAAACCAAAAATCACCTGAACTTTAAATGTTTACTAGCATATCATTCATAGAAGTATACTCAATATGTTTATCAAAACCAAAACAAACCTACAGACCTCATAATCAAAAATTAAATATTGATAGTATTTCTTTTAAAGTAATAAGAAGAAACTTGCTACTATTTCATCTCAGTATTATATTAAAATATTATACTTTGCAATTAGATAAAGAAACAAAAGGTAGAAACCTTGAAAAGTATAAAGCAAAATCATAGAGTTAAACTGAATGTGGTCATATTACTGTATTTGTTAACAACATTTACTGTATGACTTAGCTCTGAATAAAACAAGGGATCACAATTCTTGTAATTATAGATATTAAACTTTGTTTCAGCGTAAGCATGAATTAATTAAAAATTTAAGTAATTCATTCTATGTGTTAAGGTTGAGAGTATGGTTAGTTGGGGAAGGTTTGGAAAGACTTCGTATCAGCCTGATCTTGAAAAGAGGAATTATAATAGACATGATTTTTATCAATGGTTACTGGTCCGCTGGTAGGTTGTGTACTTAGGACTGAAGATGAATGTAGTTGGCCCATTTTTATCAATGGTCATTTCAATAGAACAATACCTTGATTTAATGGATTTTGGAAAATATTGCCCTGTATTTTTCTAATGATCAGACGGGAAACTCAGAGAAAAAATCTGAATTTATTATAACATTTCCATCATAATTAGATATAACACATGAAAATATATAACTAAAACATTTTTTCTTATCAAAGCTGATCCAAGCTGTCTGTCTTAGGAACAGTGAAGTTTTGTCAACTTCCATTAACATCCCTTCTATTTATAATTTTATTTTTTTCCATCCTGACTCTGATTAAATGATCTGAGAATGCTAATGCTAAAATCCAAAGGTTTTGATTTTATGAATCACACTCATCTATTAAAGTGTGCTTAATTCTTTTGAAATAAGATGCAGATTAAAAGACACAATTGCTGTTATTAGCAAAATTTAATAGCATTTCATAAGTGAAGTTAAATTGAATGATTTGTAATATTTTAATAATTTATAAATACTTTTATGTTTCAACATAAATATATTGAACAGCAAAGTGATTTTTGAAAATTGCAAAAAATTTTTATTTGAACAGACTATCTATACATATGTTCTAAATATATGTACATATATAAAATATGTGGTTAAGAAGGTTGTGGTGAAATAGTGCTGAACTTGGAATTCTGAGACATTTTGAATTACATTTCTTCTGTCATCAAGCAGTGATTCAATGATTACTAATGTCTCTAAGCCATTGGGGAAATAGTTGGGGAAATGAACTTCTTCTAACTGACTGATTTTCCTTCCTTTATAATTATAAAATATCTGCATACTCTTTATATTCATAAGTCAATTGAAGAACAAAAGCAAAACTCCTAAGCAAATTGTTTTGCTTGTTTTTGACAAAGTTTCTTTTCAGCTAGTCAGAGAACAGTTCTTTCATTAAGGTTAGAATGTATACTCAGATATATTTTGGGGTCTCTGAGGCTAGTAAAAAATATAGTTCTGTATTGAGGGAGCTGATCATGTAAATAAAAATTCACATGAAAAAATATGCAAACTTGAGTAAAAATACACCAAATAATATGCAGATGAGTTGGCATATTATAAATAATTCCTCATTACATCCAATGCATGTTAGAACTCATTTCACCACTTCCAGAGACTCTTTTCTTTAACCTTATTTCTCAAAATCAAGATCTCAAGGGAAACTCGACAATAAAATACTGCTTTCCAAGGTAGAATATTTGCAATTTTGTTTATTCTAAGTCTGTACTTTTGGTTTTCAGAATCTTTGAACTTAATGCAAAGCACATTTTCAAACTTGCCCATCTTAACTGATGTGTTTACAAATACCTAAATTAGGGAGTTAAATGCAGCCTGATCTGATTTGTGAATGGTCACGGGGCTTTGACTTAATTGACTGGTTTGACTTTTTAGCTACTTTTATTTCCCTTGCCAAACATTCTACTAGACATGCTAATGAGAAATGAAATGGTCATAAGACTAAGAGCCAGAGGAAAAGAGAGATAAATAATCACATGTCTGAGTAGGACACAAGCATAATAACCGGTAGTATGAGACAAAGTATCTGTGACTACAAACCATGTATACATTTAACTTTGGTAGAGTATCACCCTCCATAATCATGGGCAATATTTCCCAACCTCCATAGAATTATATTGAGGAAGGGTCATAGACAGACACTGATGATGATCTACAGAGAGCATGCATATGGAAAATTGCATTCACTCATTCATTCCATTCACTCATTTCACTCATTTTATCCCAGGTTGGGTCTCTGGGACCAGTCTTTTAGGAGACATCAGAGGTCCAAGAGTGAATCTTTCATGACTTCCTGAATATTGTGAAAGCAAACTTTAGTTAGAATTTGGAAAAATCAAGTTCTGAAGGGTCAAATTTTTGACTAAAGGGACTTTTCATATATGATTAGATCAACCAGATAAATGTGTAACACTTTATGTAATTGTTACATCATAATATTATATGAGCAAAGCTGAAAAGAACATATACTTAACTATACTCATTCTCAAATTTTTTATATAGCTCTCTTTAATAGTCCAAGTTAAGACAACAGTTAGGGGAATCAGTAATGAAAAACAAACATTTCAAAAAGAAAAAGTAATTTAGAAACTAGTTGTTTTTTATAGAATATACTTGTAATTTTTTCAACAATTAAAATTTTGGCTTATTGTGATTTATATTCTAAAGATCATAAATCTTGAAACATGAAATGTTTATAATTAAAGTATTATAACAACAATAAAAAGAATTGCAATGTAGTAATATGAGTAGGCCTTAAAATCAGAAAGAGCCTTACTGGGAATATATTTGACTATAAGTAGTTGTGTGACTCAACATGTTTCTTAAATTCACAATGATTTTATGCAAGGAGGCAATAAAAAGGAAATAAAGAATGTTGATTGATAAAGCCTACTGATGCTGTAAAATTGAATGTTGTAACTTTTTAAGTACCTACTACTATGTTACATAATTTACTAGTATTTCATGTGTATCAAAAAAATTTGAAATTTCTTTTTTGTTTTGAAATATTTGTCATTCATTATTTATTTTCCTAGTTGCTATCAAAATTAAGTTATTTTTTCAGCTTTGTTCATATAGCATTATACTGTAACAACTACATAAGGGCTGCAGTTTTTGGAGTGATTCTAATATAAACTAATCTATAGAACCTACTATAGATTGAGCTACATCATTACTTGTAGTTAAACATTTATTCTATCCATTGCTCTTCATATATGGTATACTTATCATCTTTATGTCTGAAACTTTTTCTTATTTTAAATGTTTCCTCAGTGACAGCGTACAGTATGCAGGTTGCAACTCTTGATTTTTAGTTTTAACTCTGCGACATTGAGCAAGTTAATTAACCTTGGTATCTCAATTTTCTCATGTGTAAAATGGAAATGATAAGTAGTTTAATATATGTAAAAGGATTAAACCAGTATTTTGCACATATTAATTTCTATATAAATACAATAAAATTCAGGATTAAAAGGTTTAATCATATTTAAGGCCACATGGTTCCTAAATGCTTATTATAATTACTGCCAACAGCAATTCTAATTTTAGTTTTATTTTCCTTTTAGATATAAAATGTGTTTAAAAAATCCAATGTGTTAATTGAATATAGGTATAAAGATTGTAATTATTATTCTCAAATGTTTTACATAACTCTCTTCTATTATTCATGAATGTACAGATTTTTATTTACTTGCTTCTAACTAAACAGCACAAAAAAGAATACTTAGCATCCAGCTCTGTAAATGCCTTTTGGGAAAAAAATGAATTTTGAATTCCTGATTCTATTTTAAGATGAAATGTAAAACACTTGATTTTTATAATTAGCTAAAATGAAATTAAAGGGAGGAAAAGAGCATGTTTTGTGTTCACTGAAAACCATGCCAAATAAGGGGACTTGGACAATCTAAGGTCTGGGCCTTTGTTCTAGAAACCAGTTTTCTTTTTTTCTTTATTAAATTTTATTTTCTATTGAAACAGATTTTGTTTCATTTGATTGCAACCGTGTGAGGTTTGAAGGAGAGGAATGTTTTTACATGTTTTTGTTCATCAGATGTATAAAAGTGTATTATATATGTTTGTTGTATGATATTATTTGGACAGTAATAATGATGATTTGTTATTTACCATATACTTAGGTAAACCAGTTATGATTGTCACAGAATACATGGAAAATGGTTCCTTGGACAGTTTCTTACGTGTAAGTAAAATATTATGTGTGTATACATATATGCATGTTTGTATGCACACACATACATACTTATGATGGAGCTGATAAAATGTTAGATATACCTTCAAATATTATGCCAAGCAACTTAGAAATCTAAATTTAAGCAAAACTGAAATTTTCTTGTATTAAATAGCCAGGAGAAAACTGTAAAATTACATCCTTATCTTGCAGCATTAAAATGGTAATGGTTTATACAGTTTTAAAACAAATTTGTACAGGGCTGGGGATGTGGCTCAAGCGGTAATGTGCTCGCCTGGCATGTGCGGGGCACTGGGTTCCATCATCAGCAC